AATCAGATTGATGACTACCTGTATTATCATCATAGAATCTTCATCCAGTAACTAATGGAAGCAGATACAGAGATCCACAGCTAAGCACTGGGCCAACCTCTATTATATTTTCTAATTGTTGCATGCATAAGAAAGTTGTTGGTTTCTATATATTCATTTTTACCTTTATACCTTACTGAATTTTCTTACTGCTGGTATTACATTTTCAATTATCATGAATTTTCAGATAGATAATATCTATGCATAATACCATCTTCCACTGTTTACATGTTCATCATGTAAAATGACATATATAGAATTTTCAGAACAATTTTAAGTACTAGTTGGGAAACTGGGCAGTTTCTCTTGTTCCCAATTTTCATAGGAATGCCTAACATGCATGAAGTCCTGAGTATAACAACAATAATTTTATAGAACTAGCTTACATTTTACTGCTAGTTGCTTTTTAAGTCTAGGAAGATTTGATAATTGCAGGTAAATATGTTTTAGAATTGGGGAAGTTGTTTTATAACATTTATCTTTTGATTTATTAGTATTGTCAATCATATAATAATAATAAATGGGATTTTAATTACTAAAATGAACATGCATGTTTATGGTGTATTTTTTTTAAAAATTTCCTGCATGAGACTTGTCTCTCCTGTTTCTATATTTCCTAGTCATTGGAATTGGGTCTTGTCTATCATCTCTAGATTTCAGAGTCTAGAAAGTATACATTATACTAGTGTGATATGTTTCTTGATTGACATAACAACACAAAACTGTGTGATTGTGTACTTTTGATTAGGTACTTTGATTTTTCTATAATTAATGAGTATAGTCTCTTTTTCTATCAGTCAGTGTTGGTGGTTAGTGGTTTCTTAGGAAATTGCTCTAAGTTTTCAGAATTGTTATATAAAAAGGTATTCTTACTGTTTTCATTTATTCTGTATCCATACTTATTTCTCTTTTTGGAACATATTTTACAAATTGAATTTTGTAATTTATTTTTGAGTCACTAATCAGTAGGCCATAATATATGCACAGAGGACCTGGTGCAGACCCTATGAATGCTGCTTCAGTCTCTTGAGTTCATATGAGCCTTGCTCATGTTGATTTAGAGGGCTTTGTTCTCCTGGTGTCCTCCATCCCCTCTGGCTCTTACATTCTTTCTACCTTCTCTTCCATGGTGTTCCCTGAGCTCTGAGGGGAGGGATTTGATGGAAACATCCCATTTAGAGTTGTTGTTCCAAGGTCATCTTTTAATGTAAGTGTTGAGAGCTATAAATTTTCCTTGAACTTCCACTTTAGTGAAGTATAGCTTCTGATTTCTGATGTTTTCTAGATAGTCTAAAGTTTCAGATTTCTTCTTTATCTAAAGTGGAAAAGTCCATTTTTTAAAAATATATACTATATGTTTTTATGTTTTTTGAATTAATTTCCAGTATTGCTGAATTATGTTTAGAGAAAGTGATCTGTACTGTCTCTGGCTCAACATATAGAAAATTAATATTCGCTGGGGTCCTGAAAAAAAGTGTACTCTTTGTTAGGGTTTTCTCATATTTTAGTTTTATTTGTAAATTGAAACAGTCTTAAATTTGTTTCAGACTTTTTTGCCTTTATATTACCTACACTTTACTTATGATGCTTCATTCTATATTTTATTTAATTTTGTACATAAAGATTCAGGGCTTCTAGGAATAACAAGATATGGCTATGATACTAGTTCTTATGTGGCTGACAAAGAAGGATTTCAAGTTCAAAGCCAGCCTGGACAATATAACAGCTCTCTCTCTCTCTGTCTCTCTGTCTCTGTCTCTCTGTCTCTCTCTCTCTCTCCCTCCCTCCCTCCCTTCCTCCATCTCTCCCTCCCTCCTCCTCTCTCCCTCTGCCTCCCCTTTTCCCCTCTCCCCCTCTGCCTCTCCCTCTCTCTGTCTCTCTCACACACATAGTGTGAGACCACATATATAATATATATGTGTGGTTGGTTTGTGTGTGTGTGTGTGTGTGTGTGTGTGTGTGTGTGTGTGTGTGTGTGTGTGTGCGTGCGTGCTCATGCCTAAAGAGCAAGGAATGAGAAAGGGAAAGATTCAGTGTAATTACATCTTTGTCATATATTCCAGTTGTTAGCATTGTTGTATTCTTCTTTTGGGAGAGGAATGAGTGCAAAGTAGAATCAGGGTAATTAATTAAGGTCATCAAGAAGGGCCTCTATACCTGATATTTGTCATTCTTTTGCTGTCCACTCACTAGTGTTTGTTTTTATTTTATTTATTGAGAGGATATGCTAGGTTGGATAGTTGGTGCATGAGGGATCTCTACAGATAAGCTAAAACCCAAATAAGAAAAGTGAAGATGTGTGGGTATGAATTTCTGATCCATGTGGGAACTAGTGATGAGGGGAATGATGTTTTGTTTCCATTTTCTCTAAGCTGGGTTTGCATTGTGTCTCCTGTTCTTTTTAAAGAAATAGTCTCAGCCATCATCATGACTGTTGAATAAATAGTCTCTCTGTGGATCTAATTGAACCCCTGGAATTTCCTGGCAGTAGGCAGGACTCAGCATGATGCTGATTGCTCACAGGCTACCATAGGAAACCAGATCATAAGTTTAAAGGGCTTACCTCTTTATAATCAGCCGAAGAGAAGTCATTTAATTTTGATAAGTCTTATCGTGTAGAAGTTTGACATTTTATAAATATTCCCATAAATCTGGACTTTGTCTTTTGTGATTATCTTTTATAACTTAATATTACTTTTCCTTATGAGAGATCATATTTTAAATTGCAATTTTTCTTCTTTATACAATTCTATATCAGAATATTAATATACCTATATAGTACTGATAAAGAGTTATCTCAAGAGATTTACTGAATAATTTTATCTCCTTGTTTTATAATGTTTTATATAGATAATGTTTTTATAGTCTACCTTATTTCTTGCCTTTATTTGAGACAGGATAGCTTTAGTATATATTGCCCTGGCTATCCTGGAACTCACTATGTAAACTTCTGGTCTTTAATATGCAGTGATCTCCCTGCTTCTGCCTTCTGAGTGCTGGGATTCAAGGTGTGTGTCACCACTCTGGCCTAGTCTACCTTATTTCTAAATTTACTGATTGATTATGTCAATTAATAGCATACTTTTACTTACACTTGTTTGATACGATGCTTAACCTATTCATACTAATTTAAGTATATTTTGATCATATTCTTCCTCTCCTTCAACTCCTTCTAGTTCCTCTTCTCCTCCCTACCAAACTAACTTTTAAATTCTTTCTCAAATACACAAAAACTCAATACAACAACAAAACACCTCAAAACCAAGAAAATAAAATAAAACCATGCTACCACCCCACCCCCCAAATCCCAGACTGTAACCAAATAAAATCACACAACAGAACTGTGGAGTCTGATACATGTTGGTCAACTTCCCATGACCATGATGCCTGCCCTAGAGTGGTTGATATACCCAGTTTCACTCTATGGAGAAAACTGATTTTTTTCTCTCCCAGTAGGTATACAGTTCAATTGTTAGCCTTTATACTAGGACCTAGATTTACATTCATCCATTCATTTTAATATAACAAAATAAAAGATAAGATAAAATAAAAACCATCACATCAGAGTTGGACAAGACAAACCAACAGAAGGAAAAGAGCCCAAGAGAAGGCACAAGAGTCAGAGACCCACGCATTCTCACACTCAGGAATCCCATAAGAACTAAAGTAGGCCTGGAGGTGATGGCGCACACTTTTAGTCCCAGCACTGGGGAGGCAGAGGCAGGCGGATCTCTGTGAGTTTGAGACCAACCCTGGTCTACAGAGTGAGTTCCAGGACAGCCAGGACTGTTACAGAGAGAAACCCTTTCTCGAAAAACTAAGCCACAATACATACATGGAGGACCTAGCACAGACCTGTCCAGGCCCTGTGCAAACCGCTTCTGTCTCTGTGAGTTCATATGAGATTTTTGCTCATATTATTAATCCTTCTTTACCCCATCCTCAATTTTTTGATAACAGAATACTCCGTCAACTTTTGAAAGTTGTTTTTCAGAAAAGCCTATAATTCAATGGTTCTTTTTGAAATTTCAGGTTGTAGTATATCGGAAGGAAATATCTTTAACCAAAAGTGGCAGATACTTGTGAATAGCTTATTTAATATTTTTATTACACATGTAAGAACCAGGATGTTATATGTGCTTCATTTATAATCTTATCTTGCATCAAATAGCAGTAGGAAAATGGAAGTAAGGAGTGAGACAAAAGAAAATCCATGACCTTTTGATAGTAAAGTATTAAATTGTGCTGATTCTGGGTAGTAAGTGGGAATGTGGGTGTTCATTATAGAAATCATTATATATTTCTAAGCACTAGAAACTTTCCATAGTAAAAAAAGAGAGAAATCGTTAAGCAGGAAAACCTGGATTATAAGTCCTAGACTATTGCCTCTCCTGTCTGAGTCCCATAAACAGACTATGTGTATATTTAGATATTGGCTAAACAGTTCAAGTTCAAATCTGCCACATAACCTTTATAACCCTGGACAAGTTACTTATCCTGGCTATTTCTTAGTTTCCCATCTGTAGGGAGCAAATCAACTTGAATGTGGAAAACACTGAAAATATACACTGGTGCTGTGGTTCTCAACCTCTGGGTTGCAACGCCTTTGGGGGTCCCCATACCAGATATCCTACATATCAGATATTTAGATTATGATCCAAAGCAGTAGCAACATTACAGTTACAAAATAGCAATGAAGTAATTTTATGGTTGGGGATCAGCACATGTATTAAAGGGTTGCGTTAAGAAGATTAAGAACCACAGCGCTAGTGTTTAGTACTTAGTTTATTCACAAAATAGTATTTGTCGTCCTCATTATTATATCCTTATCACCATGGCCATTACATTTTCTATATAGATAAGAATTTTGTAGCCATTTTAACTTTACAGAAATTGTCATCCATAATATAGGCCCATGCACCACATGCTGTCTTGGTCAATACTTCTCTGCTGTTTTTCAGGGAAATGGCACATTCTAAGGCCAGCTTTTCATGGTCTACTCCCTTCCATCCTTGCCTTGAGAACCCAGCACTGGACTTGTCAAACTACCGAGCAATCTCTTCTCTTGACCTCCTTGGAGACTTCAAACTTGCCTTGAACAAAGCAGAGGAATCTTCAGTTTATGAGGATGGGAGTTCGGTTGCCTCCATGCCCCGCCCACTGCGAAGCCGAGCCTTCTCAGAGAGTCACATCAGCTTAGAGCCTCAAAACACCCGGGCCTGGGGAAAGCCTCAGAGAGAACCATTTGCTAAAAGCAATGAGACTCAGCCAGAACTCCTTGGGGCCCGAAAGAAGCCTTTTCCTCCCCCTCGCCCTCCTCCTCCCAACTGGGAAAAATATAGGCTTTTCCGTGCAGCCCAGCAGAAGCAGCAGCAGCAGCAGCAGCAACAACAACAGAGGTGTGATGAGGAAGAAGAGGAAGTAGAGGAGGAAGAGAAGGAGCAGGAGCAGGAGGAGGGAGAAAAAGAAGAGGATCTACCACCCCAGTATTTTAGTTCAGAAACCACTGGTTCCCGTGCCCCTAATCCAGATGAGGGCCTGGAGCAGCCACAGCCTCTGAAGATGGGTCACCTGGAGGCCTCAAGGCAGGCTACACAGAGTCTACCAGAGCAACAGGACTTTGCTCTGCATCCCAGTGATTTTGTGCCTCCAGTAAGGGGCCACACTGGAGCCCAGCCTGAGAAAGCTCAACCTCCTTGCTATTATGGCAGTCATGGACTATGGAGGACAACCGAGCAAGAAGCTACTGTGACCCCAAAGTAAGTATTTGGGAAAGACATTGGGTCTCAGAAAAGGCAGCCAGTGGCATGAATTGCATTTCACCTCTACCCCTAACATTGATGCCCAGTCTTCTTACCTGGAAAACAGGCATGATAATGTACCTGCTCTACCTGGTTCTGACTATTAAGATATTGCATGTAAAGGACATAAATAGGTACTTGGCACATAGTAGGTGCTCAGGAAATGGAGTTCAAGGTTTTATCCCTATCATTAAGAAAATATGCTATGGCTTCTCAATGTACCTTTAAGGTATACTGCAATATCTGGGCCCCATCATGAAAGCATAAACCGTTCTTTGTCCTATGCCTTTTCCAAAACCTGGCTCCTAACTGCTCTAGCATGTTAAAGTAGCATGCGCCTCTGAATTCTTCCCCCAATCCCAGAAGAAAGGTATTGCTGGAGCTAGACATTTATGCCCTGATAATTCCATACAACAGCCAAGGGCATTCTTTGTCTCTTCCACTTTCTCTACTCTCTTGTTTTCCAACTTCTTCACATTTGCTTTGCCAGACAGTAGGCAGTAGGTGACAGGGTGAGCTGGCTGGGCCAAGAGATCAAAACAGGATCGAGGCTTGCCATTGACTTCTATGTGGATGCCCATATGAGCATCACAGTGTGTGCCTGTCCTTTTCGCTCCCAGACAGAAACTCCATGATCTCCATTGCTCGGTGCTTGGGCTCTTAGCTCTGCCTGCCCTCTTTCAGGGCTCCACTGGGGATGAGCAGACAGGTGTCCCCTAATTGCTTTCTTTAAATCTTTTTATAGCAGGATCTTGCCTGGGAGGAGTTGCTATTAGAAGTACCTTGTTTATGTGACTTTTATGGACAGGCTAATCTTGTTACTTGGTTCTCTGGAGCTGATTGAGCAGTTCTCTGAGGTGCCATAAGGAAAGCATTTATAAGCCCCAGCTCCTGGGCTCTGTGAGAAACCCTTAGCAGACCACATGTGGCTGCTTCTCAAGCTGCCTTATTGCAACTGGAAAATGTGTTGCAGAACCTAGCTGTGCTGTGCTTGTTATGTATTACAGCTGCGAGATTGAAAGGTTACCTGGCAGATAGGAAGCACTGAACTAATATTTCAAAAGGCTAAATAGATAATCAAATAAGTTTTCAATTAAGCACTTTCTATGTGCCAGACACTGCCTGGCATTTAATGTACATTATTTAAGTTATTCTTCCCAACATCCCTGTTGGCCATTATTATTCCCATTTGACAAATGAGGTAGCTGAAGTTGAGCAAAATAAGGGACTAATTAATTCAGTACTGTGCAGCAAAGACTCAAATCCAGATCTATCTGCCTTTAAATCCAGACAGCTGCAGCCGCTGCAGCATCCTTGTCCTCGTCGTCCACGTCCTCATCATTGTCCTTTTACTCCCCACACCTCCTCCCCCCTCCTCTTCTCCTTCTCATTCTGCAGTCTCTCTCAGGAAGATCTTGTTCTTCAGTTGCCTGGGATTTTACAGCATCATCTTCTCTCTTATAGGGCAATGTGTGCCCAAAGTAGCAGTTCTAGACTATGGACTTTGCTCCTTTATGAACCTTTAGTGTCCTGACACCTGGGCCCCTGAGAAATAAATCGCTATTCATAAACATCTTCTAACCTGCTCCAGTGATTTGTTTGTAACAAATTATGGGACACAAGGGAATACACTCATTTGCACACAGCCTTGGCTTCTAGCTGCAAAAATAAATTCTAGATGTTTCTCCCAATGATAAAGATTTAAGGAAGAGCATCATTTCCATTGTAGCTGAAGTTGCTTCACCTATTTACTATGTGCTGAGCATGATTTGAAGTCTTTTTATGGGCCGATCATTCCTGACATGTGACATACTCTTTCATGGAATTGAAAATGATGCCAAAGCAACATGCATTCGGTAGAAACGGCATTTTAAGGTGGGGGGTTGTTGACCTTTTCCTAAGCTAGCAAGAGTCTTACAATAACCTTTAGTGGTATTGGGGAGCAGCAGGGCAAGTCAGCCCTGCAATAATGAGAGAAACCATGAACACTCTACAATGTGCTGTACTACTAAGTTGTAGAAATTGGGAGGTTAAGTGTAGTATAAGTATTTTTAATTTAGGATGGGTTTATTAGGCCATTGACTTACTCTTCCCTAACAAACCTAAGAAAGAGTTATAATTACTCCACTTTTCAGATGAGAAACGTGAAGCTAGGGGATAAAATGTAACTTTCTCAAGAGATCACAGGGAACCATAACTCAGGTAGTCCAACAGTGTCATTGCCCACAGTGTCATTTCAGTATCTTGGGTCCTGAAGAAGGTCCTCTTCAGACCATTGGGAAGTACAAGATAGTGTTAAAACCAGTAGATTTGTACAGTTTTCAATGTGAAAAACAAATAAAGACATCAAAATGGCAGCCATGCTAAGCCACAGTGTGTTTACCACAGATTTACTTTTTAGTTATAATTTCTATAACACATATGGGAGGAAGTCATGGAAATTATCAGACGTTGCTCCAGGCTAATAACTGATGCCGGTGTAGATCTGGTTTGCTTTGCAAACTCTAAGCATGTTCTCTCAGTGCTCAGTGGAAGGTTCTGATCTCACATTTAATGTTTACTTTCAAATTCACATTAGGTTCGTATAGATTTCTTATAATTCCTTACCTGTTCATGAGGGTAATGAGGAAAAGAACCCCAGAGCACAGTGCTCAATATGTTCTACTGTAACATGGTCCAGGGCCGTATCTACTGAGGATCTGACTTTTCCATGTAGGTCATGAGTTTTGATTGTTACAGTTTCTGACTCAGAACATTGATGTGTAGCATAAACTTTTATAAATAGGAGTTCTCAAAGTTCATTTCTTTGTATTCCCTCCATAATATTTTCTCTTCTCTGATATCAAAGACATAGTCCAGCTCAAAAGTTCCTTACAATAGGGGTTTGTTGAGTATCAAGTTGTTCGTTTGTCACTATCACATAAAGGATAGAAGCACAGATGTGGGGTCAGGTTGCCAAAGAAGAAATCATTGGTATGCAGTTTACAGACTGGTGACCTGGGGAATATACTTTTACCTCTTGGTTCTTCATGTTTCCTGTCTGTAAAGTGATTATGATTGCACATGTGAGTGCTGTGCACATGTGTGTTACCTGCCTTGGGACAGTTTCTGGGGTATAGCGAACACTGTGTATATATTAGTATTTTAGTTCTAAGCTGAAAACCCTCTGTGTAAAATAAGTGTCTGTAGAATGAGGATTATTGGCATGCCCAGGTTGCCTTTGTGTGATGAATTAAGAGACAGCAGAGCATGAATCAGTAAATAGCTGTGGAGCCTTTTTAGCTATTATATTTGACCTTTATCTAAGAGCTACAAATAGCTGCAAAAATGACTAATGAGTTTCTCCTGTTTTCCCTTTCAAACAGCTAGAGGTTAGAAAGGGCTAGTGACACAGACAGGTGGGTGGTAGGAGTAGCTGCTAGGCAAAGGGAATATGTGTATATATACATATATATACACACACATACACAACACTATATACATACATATAGTGAGGGTGGACTTTTGCCCTTGCATGAACCCTAGACAAACTCTTGGAAGAATTGTTCGCACCCTGCCCCCAGGCTTCAGTGAACCCAAGGCAACAGGGTCTGCTGCTATACTTGTCAAGCTCCTGGGTGTCACTGGCTTCATCCTCCCAATCTCATTCTGCAACCATGTAGGAGGCTGGGGTCAGTAGGAATATGCTGGAAGTGGAGAGAGGCTGTCTGTTCTCAGGCCAAAGGGCTGCCTACAAGAGGCAGTGTCAGAAGAACTCATGAGAGATGTGATGGGCTGTGCTAAGTTCTTGGCAGGGCTGTTAATCCTGGCCTTCAAAATGGTGATCATGGCTGAGGTCGCAGGTGACCTCTTTGTTATGAGACATGTACAGTGGAGTGGCCATTTCAAGCAGGATTGGCATCAAGATAAAAGAAAAGAACAGGGGGAAAGCCACGGGTACCTTTGTAAGCAAGCAGATCAGATAGAGCTGGGATGAGTAGGGTCTGTGCTTAGATAGAGGAGAGATCCTCAGGCTTAGAGCAACATATTTCTTTCTCTGCTGCTCAGTCCCTTCCTGAAGGCCATGGAACTAAGGAGAACCATTTATCATCAGAAGCCCACAACTTTGAGGTCTTGTAAGTTCTATATTTTAATAGGGTATTAATGACTGAGCCAAATGATAAAGAGTCCTATGAGCCACTAAGGACCGGGATACAGAAAGACAAAAAAATAGACTTCTACATTCTTAAAGTTGACCTTTACTTGGCTTTTAGACAGCCTCCATGTGACCTGTTCATGTTTGAACAGTGTCTTCTGGTCCATTTTATAATAACTAGGGAAAGTGCTGTCTGTCGTGTTATAGGTAGAAAAAACCAAGGAAGGAGAAGCATCAGTGGTCTCTCAACAAAAGTGCTCAAACTGTCACCTTTTGTTTCCACAGACAAGAGTTTCAGCACTTCTCACCTCCTCCGGGGGCCTCAGGAATCCCTACCTCTTACTCAGCATATTATAATATCTCTGTGGCCAAGGCAGAACTGCTGAATAAGCTAAAAGAACAGCCTGAGATGGCAGAGGCAGGCCTGGGAGAGGAGGGAGTTGACTATGAACTGGCTCAAAAAAAGGTAAGGCTTTGGTATGTTGCAGAGATTTTTAGCATTTAACTAAGTGTCTGAAGGATGACTAGCCCTTCCACACCCTCTAATGAGTCTTTCATTCCTGTGGCTCAGTATGGAATTCAAACAGCCTGTCCTCAGTCTTTTCTCTAATCGTAGGAACACTAATCATTATTTCTCTAATCCTTAGAACCATCCCGCTGTAGGGTAAGTGTGTTTAAGTGTGTGTGTGTGTGTGTGTGTGTGTGTGTTTGCTGTTGCTCTTAATGCTCAATCGAAATTTTTGAAGTGTTGATCAGGACTGGGGCCTAGCATGTGTTAGTGAAGCACTTTGCACTGAACTACATCCCCAACGAGCCTCCCTCTCTGCCCTCCCCCACACTTTTGTAGTGCTAGGGCTGAACCCAGAGCCTTGTACTTGCCAGGCCAGTGTTTTACCACTGAATTACAGCCCTAGCCCTGCAAGGTGTTACTACCGCCCCCACTTTTTTAAAACCAGTTAAAGGAACTACCTTTTCCAAGGTTACATACTAAATAATGGGTCCTGGACTGGAAGAGAGGACTGGATTTCTGCTCTCCCATACTGTCCTTTTGAATTAAGCAATCTAACTCACTGCCTAAGGCACATCAGAGCTCTGGCCAATGGCAGTGCCATTAATTTGTATTCTCTGTAAGTTTCTGGGGGAGAGAACAGACTGACTAAGGAGAAATTATAGGCTGGCAGACTATTATTTATTTGCAATGATGGTCAATTATCTCTTGAAAATACAAAATAGGTAAATGGGGATGTTGTTGTTGTTGTTCCAAGCCTCCCTTTCTTCCTCTAAGTACCAGTAGCCTAGTTTTTAATCAAGTTCCTGGAATCATTTTACCCCCTTGCACTTACCTATTTTATTTCATAAGCAAATAGAGTTGTCATAGCAACCTCAAAGGCCCAATTTACCATTTTGTGGACATATGAACACAATGTAAATTGCTCGTCTGCCCATATTTCCTTTCAGGACATGACCTGTAGGAAAACATAAGACCATTTTCAGAAGCTCTCCTTCCAATTTCCCATCTGAAGCAAAATGTCAGGGAAATAATTGGACCATGGAAGTGTCAAATTTTATTGATCCCGAAGCTCTTCCTTGGAGTCTATGTTTCTTGAACATGGCAGAGCTGCTCCTTGCTTATTCAATGCCTGGCCTTTCCAGGGACAAACATAATGAAAGTCTAGCCAGGGGAAGAGAGATGACTGGAAATGGCCAAGAACAGAATAACAGAGAGTGATTTGCGATGACTGCAGGTGGGGCAGGGCAGTGTTTATATGTAAGGAAAAAAGAAGAGGAAGGTCATCAATTTGCAGTGTTCCAGAAAAACAGCTCAGCTCTAGCTGAGCCTGTGTTGACTCGCTAGCTTCACACAGTGCATACCTTCCCCAAGCAAAAGGTTCAGGTTATAGAGCCCAGGTACTGGAAAGTCAGGTGCTCTTCCATTTTCATGTTTCCCTCGGTCCCCAGAGGTTGGCTTCCTGGGTGAGTAAGTGAAAATCCCAAATGGGCCATCCTTTGACACTAACATTGTCTTTTGTATGAGAGAGTGGAAGGTGACAAAACAATTGAGAATGGTTTGATACCTAGTTGTATTTCCTAATTTATATCCCTGGGCTCCCAGTTCTCAGCAGATTTGGTGATTTTCCCTACACTTCCAAGCACAAACAATGATTTCCTTACTTCTCCTGACAACAGGCTTTGGAACCTCTTCATCTTGGTCACCTTCAACATTTCCAAATGAACTGTTAGAAAGGAACACTCCAAGCCTATCATCCCAGAAGCCTAAACTAGAATAGTAATAAATCAAACACCGAATGGAGCTTACTTCTTGTGTATAAGATACTATCCTAAGCATGTATTAGCTCATTTAATTCTCATAACCGCTCTGGGATAAGAGTGATATTGTTATGCTACTTTTTTTTTTCCTGTAGAGAAGCTGAAGCACACAGAGTTTGAGTAATGTGTTACAGGTTAGACCACTACTTTGTGGTAGATTTGACATTCAAAACAGTCTGTTGCTAGAGTCTTAACCACAATGCAAAACTGGCTATAAAAGCTGTAGGCAACCTAGAATAGCATCATGCCATTCAGAACCTCTTAGCTAAATGAGGTGCTCTATCTCTGTCCTTTGCTCACTCACCTGCTTGCTCTCACTCTCTCTTACTTCCTAGCTCACACTCACTCACTCTGGTATATATCTGTACCAGGATGTATATGTGTGCACACATATGTGTTCATGTGTCTGTGAAGGCTGGAGGCCAATACTGTGTTTCTTCTTTAATTGCTTCTTACCTTATTCTTTTTCTTTTAGTGAGAGATTGTTGCTCTCACTAAACTTGAAGCTTAGTGATTGGCTAGACTGGCTCATCAATGAACTCTGGAGAATCCTTCTTCCTCTATCATCTCCCAATGCTGTGGTTACAGACATATTCTCCTATGCCTGGCTTCTTATGATCCCCATACTTACATGCAAGCATTTCAAACACTGACACATCCCTTCAGCCCCTAGATATGTATTCCTAAATTTCTTATAATAATAGTAATAATAGCCAGCTGTTGGTGCCACATGCTTTTAATTCCAGCACTTGGGAGGCAGAAGCAGGCAGATCTTTGTGAGTTCAAGGCCAGCCTAGTCTACAAGACAGGTTGGGCTGTTAGCACAGAGAAACCCTATCTCAAAAACCAAAAAATAGGAATAATACTATTTATGATGATGATAGCACAAATAAATGTACATTGGGCACTTACTGTCTCAGATACAGCAGCAAATGGTTTGCTTCTACAATCATATTGCTAGAAATTGTCACAGCACCCTGGGCAAAGGTAGAATGCTCTAGTTTATCGATGAAGAAGTAAACTTCTTTGTATCCAGTGTTTCAGAGTTTCTAGAAGACATGGTTGGTATCCAGGGGTTTGTATGACTCCAAAATTGCACTCTACTCCATTGCTTTCCTTGTGAGTACAGTCACACAACTGATTACTGCTATACATTGTAGGTACTTAATCTTGTCAAGTTGATCAGATTGATAGGTGCTTAGAGACTGCAGAGCATGGCCAGACATGGCCAGAATGTGGATGGCACCATCATATAGACTGGGGGCCCACATATAATAAATGGGTGAGGATGGGAAAACCTATAGTACAGGCTCTCACTCTCTGTGCTACTGGTTGCCACAATGAACCAAAATTTCTGAGACTGTGAGCCAAAGTAAATTGTTCTTCTCTTATTCCTTTAGATTGTTTTGTGTGGATGTTTCATCACACACACACACACACAAAAAAAAAACCAATAAAACCTAGCACATTGGCAGTACTTCCCTTGAGAAACTTATAAGAAATAGTGAGGAATTAGACTCACACACATGAAATAGAATTATAAAAAATTAAAATTATGCTGTCTTAGTCAGTGTTCTATTGCTGTAAAGAAACACCATGACCACAGAAACTCTCATAAAGGAAAGCATTTAATTGAGACTTGTTTAGGGTTTCAGAGGTTTGGTCCATTATCATCATGGCAGGACTATTGATGTATACAGGCAGACATTGCAACTGACATTCTACATCTGGGGAGTATGGCTGCACACAGGCAGACATTGCCACTCACATTCTACATCTGGATCCATAAGCAGCAGAAAGAGAGAGGCACTGGACTTGGTGTGAGCTTTTGAAACCTCAAAGCCCACCCCATGGCATACTTCCTCCAACAGGCCACACCTCCTAATCCCTCTCAAGTAGTACCACTCCCTAATGACCAAGCATTCAAATATATGAGTCTATGGGGGCCACTCCTATTCAAACCACCACACACTGTGAAGTTCTGATTCTAGAAGTTTTGTTTTATTTTGTCTTTGGTTTTCAGTTTGCTTGTTTGCAATTCTAGGCATGAAAGTCAATACCTTTGAATCACTATACTTCTGAACTATACCCTTAGGAGGAAAATACTTCAAAGCTCCAAAAAGAAAATAAAAACACTGAGAAAAGACTTCTAGAAGAGGTTTTCCTATAAGAAGGGTAGGAGCAAAGCTGGACCTTGGAGAAAGAACAGGAATAGCCCCAGTACAGAGAAACTGAGCAAGTAGAATTACAGAATCAATTCAGGAAGTCAAGAATGAGGGTTGTGAATACAGTGGAGTGGAGAGCTAAACCTGAATGGTTTTGAAGAGTGTAGTAATGGGTCATTTTGACCAGTAGTAATAACAGTGGCCTACCTTTTATTGAACACTTTCTGTGCTAAGTCTTTTTAATTATTATTGAATCATTACCACTCAGCATAATGGACACAACACTTACCTATAATCCTTCTACAAAGAGAGAAAGTGAAACTCAATTAAGTCAAATCATTCAAGGACCTGCAGATAGAATTTGGCAGAGCAAGAAGACAAACACAGTCATTGTGACTGCAGAATTTTCATTCTAATCCAAAGGCCTCAAAAGTGAACCAAGGAGATAAGGACCAAGCACACTGTCATCATCCCCAAAGGAAAACAATATAAAGTGATTATCAAATATCTGGTGACAGTTCTTTCCAATCTAGGGTTTCAGAAGCTCTGTAGTTCCCATTTATTATAGTCTCAGTTGCATTTTGCAAATGTGACTTGGGCCATAGGTACCACTTGTCTAATACCAAGAACTTTGGTGGTAACCTGGAAATTCCTACCAAACAGAGAGGAAAGGGACCTACTCAGAAACCTAGAATTGCTTATCACTTGCTCAGGTTTCATTCTATATATCTCTTTCCTGTCTCTCCTTCCCCTATCCCTCCTTCCCTCCCCCCTTCTATTGTTAGTCTGGTCCTTTAGACAAGGTCTCAGTATGTGGGCCAGGTTGTAATGCTCTTGCCTTTACCTTTTGAGTGCCAGGATAAAGGCATGTGCTCTGCTAAGCCCAAATCTGTTTCTATTGAAGTCCATGCTCATCCTTTGTCTTCTGTTTAACTCTTAGATTCAGCTCATTGAAAGTATTGGTCGGAAACTTTCTGTCCTGAGGGAGGCCCAGCGAGGCCTAGTGGATGACATCAATGCCAATTCCGCCCTTGGAGAGGAGGTAGAGGCCAACTTAAAAGCTGTTTGCAAATCCAATGAGCTTGAAAAGTATCACTTGTTTATTGGGGACCTGGACAAAGTGGTCAACCTGTTGCTGTCACTCTCTGGACGACTGGCCCGGGTAGAGAATGCGCTCAACAGCATCGATTCAGAGACCAACCAGGAGAAGGTACAGATGTTTTCCCTGTGGGTATAGATGGAAGAAATGCCTCTTTAGATTTGAAGGGAGACAGAAAACAGCACTGAGAGTGTGAACACTGGCTTTTTAATGCCCTGACAGTTTTGTTCTGCACATTAGCTGTGTGACTATAAGCAGCTTACCTAGCTTTACTCTTAGTTGCTTCATTTACAAAATGAAATAAGCATGCAACCTGTTTCATGGGGTTTCTGTGATGGTTGAGATAATCCAAGTTAATTGCGTAAAACAGTGTTCAAAACAGAGCAAACATGGACTCAGTGCTAGCTGCTAGTGGTGGTGATTGATGGTGATGGCAGTGATAGGGGTGGGGGTGGTAACAGAAGCAGAAACAGCAGCAGGAACAGAAACAGCAACAGCAGTTACAGCAGCAGCAAATTGTCCCTGATCTCCTTAGAATTGCAAAGAGGCCCTCGGTTTTACAGGTTATTTCATTCTGGGATCATATTTGAATTAAACTCCATTACCCTCCCCTATGCAAGTAACTTTGATCCATGGGAGGAGGTCCCTATACGTGCACACACACAACTACACACCCACATGCATGTCCACTCACACAGAGACACCATATAGAAAGCAGCACCACAATGATGTTTGTCGTGCAAACAGAAGGGACTTAGATTGTCTTTGTGAGAGGCTTCCTTGATGCCAAACTAAGTGGTGGCTCGTGATCTAAAGACAGCCTTAGAGATGGAAAGATGTGATTGCACACCCCCAATCCAAAGCTGCTGTCATGCTTGTCTGTTTCCAGCTACAGACAAGGGAGGTTTGAGTGTGAATGTGTACTGAGCAAGAAATCTAGGGCTGCTTAATTAGCAGAAGGTATAGCTGCTCTGTAGCTGCTTCCTTGGTGAAAGACTGCTGTGCGGATGCCTGGGGATTGGCATGGCCTCTAATTGGTCCTCTGCTTTCCCAGTTGGTGCTGATCGAGAAGAAGCGGCAGCTGACAAGCCAGTTGGCAGATGCCAAGGAGCTGAAGGAGCACGTGGACCGCAGGGAGAAGTTGGTGTTCAGCATGGTCTCCCGATACCTGCCTCAGGACCAGCTCCAAGATTACCAGCACTTTGTGAAGATGAAATCTGCTCTCATCATTGAACAGAGAGAGCTGGAGGAGAAGATTAAACTTGGGGAAGAGCAGCTTAGATGCCTCAAAGAGAGCCTGCACTTGGGGCCCAACAATTTCTAATTCTGCCGGTGCCGCTGCACCCCTGCCTATCCACAATGGAAAGTGCTTTCAACCTTGAGTAGCAGTTTGCTAGCCAAGTATATAGAAATTACTTAGCAGATGCTGCCAGCCATGGAGGAGAGCCTGGGAAGACCCCAAACTTCTGTCTTGCAGAGCTGCAGCAAGGTGTGATTGTACCATGTTTTTTCCCTGTGAGTGGGAACCACTCACTGCCCATAGAACCAATCAAGTGCCTTCATCTCTGAACTAGGACACCAAAGATACCACAAACTCAATATGTTCCCTTGCCACACTAGCCTCTTTATGTTCACAGTGAAACTGCCTGTGCAATTTCCCTCTTCCCTAGGACTAGTGACCTAGCTTAGCCATTGTCCACGCACATTGGCTTGACTTGAATGCATTCACCTGACATCAGCTTCAGGTCCTCACCCAGACTTCACAGCAGGGGGCACAGAAGGGAAAAGTCCATAGAAGAGGAGCAAATGTTGGGTATGCCTGCCTAGTCATCCTCCCCTCCAGGAAAAGCCAGGCATAAATGAAGTGGTTCCGTGTCTACCCTGCCTGACAGCTAGTGACAGTGTTGTTACTGTGGCCTTCCTAGCTTAACATGATGGGCCACTACTTTAATTGTATCTTGCCCTGATATCACTAGGAATCATGTGCCGGGGCTTCCCTCTCTCAATCTTTAATGTTTCTATTGCAGCCAACTTCTGGATATAGATTCATTATTAAGGGAGAGGGCTCTTATTATATTTTAAATGGTCTTTGATTTTTATTTATTTTTATGTTTTCTTTTTTAACTAATGAAGCAGGAAGACATGAGTTAGAGAGGAGGAAGTTAGCCAGAAGGAAAACATTATCCATAGATAAGCCTGAGTCCACCATGGCTGGGTAAGCAAGTGCCAAGGCATTGAATTCTTCCTGCCATAGCTTCAAGTATCTAAGAAAGTTTACCTCTTGAACTCATAGCCTGTCTACCATAGCTTGGCTATGTGCTTCCTGAGTAGAGGTCACTGTTTTCTAACCAGAGTATTCTCCTAAAACTGAAAAAAATAGGATGCATGAATGAATGAAGGTGAAGTGTGGAAGGCACCCTTTTAGCAAGTGCTTTCTCAGCAGCTAGCCTCAAGGAAGCAAAACAATGAGAGTGTTTTTAGCCAGGGCCAGGCTCCAGAAAAAATTAGGATCCATCCAGGATCTAGACAACAGTATCCTTCCTTATCTTCTGGGCCTAAGTACTAAAGCATCTCCTCTGGTGGATGCCCAAGATCTTGGGTAGTTCCAAAGCTTGTATATACCACAATTGTTAATCTTATCACTGAGGGGACTAATAAGTGACTAAAGAGAGGTAGCCTGTATAGCATGGGTACACTGGATAAATAGATGATTCATGATCCATGTGGAATGGAGCAAAATTTTTTCACACTACTCAGAATGGCACATAATTTAAAACTTATCCGTTGTTTTACTCTATAATATCACATTTAGTATTTCCAAACCATGGTTGATCATGAGAACTGAAACTATGGAAGGTGAAACCACAGAGATTAATGTATAAAGAACTAAAGCTGTTGCTTTTGCCAAGACCTGACATTGGTAGCCAGCTTCTGTCCTAGAAAAACATTTTTGAGGGCAATAGCAAGAGGGGAAGTACCACCAAACTGCCCTTTTCTCTAGCTCAGGCTTACATTCTTTACTAACTGGACACAATCCTTGATGTTCTCCCCTAACAATACAACAGAAGCCCAAAAGAACCAAGCCCTGGCATTGCCACATGTTACTGCTGACTTCCTCAGGGTTCTGGGGTTCATTGTAGCTGCAGTGTTACCTCATTCAACCAAAGAATTTGCCAAGGAGCTTCACTGCTGCTACAAATACTGGTCACTATTTTCCATTATCTCCACACTGTGTCACAGCTTTGGGAGGATCTTGGCCAGCAGGATATTCTAAAGAGGTGGCAACCTTTTCCGTGGGTTGCTGGGTATGCTTTTTATAGTACTGCTGCCTCTACAATAACCACTGTTACTATGTCAGTACTGCCATTCTCCCCTCAAGTGGAAGACTGCAATTTATTTTAAACATAACCCCCAAAATCTATACTGAGCATGAAGCTCTGTAGCCACTGTTCTGTGCTATGCTGTGTGGTACTGTGCAGTGCAGGGCTGTGAAGTGGTATGCTGTGAAGTGCTGTGGTGTGCTATGAAGTGCAGTGCTGTACATAGCTGTCCAGTGCTCTTCTGTGTTATGCTGTTCTGTTCTGTGCTATTCTATTCAGGATGGCTGCAAGCTTACCCAAAGGAAAATTGGGGAGAGGTGAGCAAATGCTATGAATAAGGCTGCACTTGCCTCACCTTCTTTTAACAATGGGCCCTAGGACAATCAAAGTTCAAATGGCTTATACTAGGATGATGAGAGTTATGTGATATAGCATTCGAAGATGTATGAGAATTATGTGTTTTATTGTTTAAAGATGTGTTTGACTATAATAGAACAAGGAGCAGTCATTGTGCTGGATATCATGGCCATAGACTGGGTATTTGTAGCCTTTGTTATGTTTCTTTTACCTTAAGTATATGATACCAAAAATACTATTAACTGTGGTTTGTGTTTGTTTGTTATTTTAGCATTGTTGGAGGTGGAACCAAGGCCTTATGTATACTGGGCAAGTGCTGTATCATTGGCTACAGCCACAGTCTTAATTCTCGTTTTTTGTCACTCATCCCACCTCAAAATAGTTTGTAGAGTTGGATTCAGAATACAGAGCAGAGCTTCCAGAGTATTTGAAAGATAACCTCAAAAATATATTGCATAGCAAAGCTCAATAGACTAAACTGACCCTGGCATGCCCTACTCCAGCTGTGGCATTTCCACAGTGGGGAATATCGCTGCAAAGTACCAGTACTGCTTGGCATGGGATATCTCTCTCTGGTCTTGGTTTCTGGGATCAGCCATCTTTCAAGGCCCCTGAGAAGATAGCAGCATGAAAGTAGGTCAAAAGATTGGCAACCCCCACCCAAAGGTTACTTGTCTTCCACTCTTTCCCTTAAAATACTTAGATAAACCTCACTGAATAATAGGAAAGCAGGGTGGAGGATAGAAGGGAATCAATGCAATTTTACTAGGATACACCTATTCTGCCCCCATCCCCAGGCCTCTAGAAAATTGACCTTCCTCAAGTCCCATGATTGAAGACTCAGCCAAGTATAGCAGTAAATACCCAAGTAGAATCTAAGAGACTAATGTCAGATAGACTGGAATTAAAGCCCTAAAAGGGAGAAATTGGATGCATAGGAAAGGAAAGAGAGTAAAAACATAAAAAGCCTCTTTCAAGATTGGGTTCATATTTCTGTTTGCCACTTAAGCTCGTGTGCCAAAAAGAGGCTGCCTTAGGGGTACCAGAACTTCATCCTCAACGCCAGCCTCCCTAAAGGTGCTGCTTTTCTAGTAGCAAGCCTCAGATAGAAGTTGGGTGAATTTCTGGCTACCTCTACCCATGTGGAACCTGGCAGTTCCCTCTCATTGTCAGAGGAGCTGTGTATGCCAATAAGAATTCTGTGGCAGAATATTGTATTATTTGAAGATTGAATCCTTAGAAGGGGGTGGGGCATGGGACAGTGTATATAGATCAAGAATCAGTATTTGCTGTATAATTTGGGGGAGTTGTCTATCTCATGTAATGCTATTGTTTTTCTGAATCTTACTGTTTCTGTATTTGTGTCCTCCACCATACCCCTCTTGGCTGTCATTGATATGCCTGCCATATTGTCATCAAGGGTCTTACTTCAATAAAAGGTGCTAAGGACAACAGGAATTGTCTCTTTGTTTTGCTTATGGAATATAAATCCTCTAATGTTCTGATGAAAATAGTAGAAAGGAGTGTGGTTACTTATCTATAGTCTTCCCTATGCAGCTATATGGCCAGAGCCTTATCCATATTCTTAAACTTATAGCCTGACACCCTAAGGATGGTATTAATACTGCACCATTCATTATCACCAGTAAAACAACAGGGTCTGTCCTAGCCTTCTTAGGGAAATAGCTTTTAGACATCTATTCCTACTACTGCTGCTGAAGGATAAAAACAGTTCCCAATCTTACCCAGATGTGAGTCCTACAAGCTACAATAACAACTGGCCTGGCAAAACAATCCAACTGGTGCAATAGTGGCACAAACATCACAGCCTTCCTTCCACTACCCTGCCCTCCCATCTTATCTGCAAAATGGAAAAAATAACATAGTGTAGGTATTATGGTCTGAAATAAATTTTAATTTGAAAATAATAAAAGCTCCTAGATATATACTGAGGCGTTGTTAGAAAGGCAGAATTCCAGGCCTCATCCCAAAGCCAGTGACAACAGTCTGACTTTTAATTAAATTCCTGGGAGATTCATGTGTTTAATATTAAAATTTTGAAGCACTAATATGTCACAAACATACCCAGGGAGAGTAACTATTTTATAGTCTTGATTCTATGCTTATCCTAAATATATTTTTGTTTCTCTCATATTAATCACAGCTGTCCAAATAGTTTCCAGATGCAAGGTTTATACATCTCATAGCTCATTTTGAGCTGCTATAACAATATATCCGAGACTAGGTAATTTATAGTAAATTAAAATGTACTAGATTATAGTTCTAGAGGCTTAAAAATCCAAGATGAAGGGTCCAACTCCTGGTGAGGGCCTTTTTCTGAGAGCTTAAGTCCTTTTATAATCAGTAGCAATATAGTCTTGAAGGTGGAGGCTCATATTACTGTTAAAGTGAGGATTAAGTTTTAAAGCATACTTTGTGGAAACACATTCAAATTATAGTGATATACAGAATCAAAGGAGCAATCTGACAAGGAAATCAAATAATTCCTGACTGTTGCTATTACAAAGATATGATAAATGTTTCAGGTGATGGCTATACCAGTTACCTCTTCTGATCTATATACTGTTAATATATAGAAATGTCATGCTGTATTCCAAGAAATGTGCACAATTATTGTGAGTAGATTCTAAATACAAAATAAATGGGTTGGGGAATGATTCGATTAACTGTAGCATAGAAAAGAACAAAATACTTAGAAATATATTTACAAATATGCAAGACGTTTTCATTAAAAACAATAAAATATTTATAAAAAGAAATTGGGGAAGCTCTAAACAGGAAAATATCTGTACTCATAGTTTATAAAATGATTATATACCTCAAACTGGCTTATAAATTCAACATAATTCTTATGGAAATTTATACTGATCTATTTGCCTAAATTACAGTATCATCCTAAAATTCGTATAGAATTGCACAGGATTCAGAATAGCTAAAACTAGCTTTAAAGAAAACAAAGAAGAAGACTTAGACATCCAAATTTCAAAATTTATTGCAAATAAGCAGTAAAGGAAATAGTTACTTATAAGCACAGGAACATACATACAAATAAAAGAAAATAAAGGTTTAAAATGTAGTAATTTTTCAACAAGAGCACCCGAGTCAAAAAAAAAGCAGGGAAAGATGATATGACTCAGCAGGTAATATGCTTGCAATCATGAGGACCTGAGTTCAGATCCCACCATCATTGTAAAACCAGGATGTGGTGGGACATGTCTATATCCCCAGCGCTAAGAGGTGGACGTGCAGATCTCTGGAGGTCACAGGCCAGCCTGCCTCTAGCCAAATCAGTGAGGTCCACTGACAAGACTCTGTCTCAGGAGACAAGGTGCAGAGCAATAGAGGAAATATCATCATGAGTTGACTTCTGGCCTCCACAGGCTTCCACACACGTACGTGCAAATGTCCATGCATAAACCACATACATAAAATTGAGACAGAATTATTTTTCTATAGATAGTGTTGATATAGCTGGATATCTACAAGAAAAACATGACCTTGCACAAAAAACATACCAGAATATGTATGTCTTAATGTGCTTGAACTTCTGTAACTTAATTCCACTACACTGAGCACATTGAAAAAACAAACATGGGTTTCTTCTATTCTGACGCACAGAAAGTCCATAGACAACACTAACTGAACTTAGTGGGTTATCAAGAAACAGATGGGGAGGGAAAGGGGAAGTTGGGAAGGAATGTATTGGGGAGATGCAGATACAAGGAGAATTGGGGGGTGGGAAATGTGATCATGTATCGATAAGTGCTGCAACAGGGATAAACCCTCAACTTTTTTTTATACTAAGTGAAAAGGAACCAAAAGCAAAGGACAGCATTCTATGATTCAGTTTATTCCAAATATCTCAAATAGGGAAATCTACATAGGCAAAGAGCACATTAGTGGTTGTCATGGCCTTAAAGTCCAAGTGGGATGAGTAATAATTGATAAGGAGCATGACATTGCTTTAGAGGACAATGGGGACATTTTAAAATTAGAATCATCATGGTTGTATGACTCTTCCAATGTACTAACAAGTTAATGAATTATATGCTTGAACTTTGTTAGCCACAACGTACATGGATTATTTCTAATAATTTTTATAGAAAATATTCCTTATTTCCATCAATCTCACTCCCATTAACAACCCCTGAGTATCATGATGCCAAGTATAGCGTTCATTTGTGGACACATCATAGGACTTCTACAGACCATAACTTCCTGCCCTCACTCTACTCTGCACACCAGATAAAGATTTCCTTGGACTTACAGCTAAAATATTTCCAGGCTAAGGGGTTTCTCATAGAAAGAAGAATTTCTGATAAGCAACGCTGCCATTATTCACATTCCCCATCCTGGGGTAAATTACAGGCCACTTGTAAGATGAGTGCATATAGACTGAAGAAAATGCCCCATTCTGAATAGATGGGAAATGACTACCTAATTCACATGCTGTCTACTTGGGCTCCAATTTGAGGAGAGTTGCATGAAAGCCTATATTCTTGAAGCCCATCTTCTGATGTGGAGTCCCTTGTTCTACATTATATATTATATGTTATATATTTTCACACACCTTTTATCTACCTAAACATACACTTAAAAAATCTTCATGCAATCTTTAAAACTGCCCTATGATTTTTGAAATTTTTTAATTTTTTAAATAGAAATTAAGAGTTGTATCAGCATGTTTTCTTATTTGTAAATTACATGAAGGAAAGTGTGTGGTATGATTTATTCATCTATTTAAAAGTGGAAAAGCTAGAAGTCTCCACTCTAGTGTAGCTTCTGTCCTAATGAAATTGGTAAATCAATCTCTGATTGCATACTACTTTATATACAATGAGAGAGAATACATAATCACTTTTTACCCTGTTCCAGTGACACAAAACCAATTATTGATTTTCACAGCTGTTAACAATTCACTAAGCTCATGGATCTCTACGTTAATAAATTAAGTAGAAGATTTTACATTAATTTTCAGCAGAGAATAATGGTACATGAACATGAGAATACAAATATCTCTTCAAAATACTGATTTAATTTCCTTAGGTTATCTAGTTATTAAATCACTGGGTCACATCATGTTCATATTTTCAATCTTCAGAAAACGTTCTTACTTGTTTCTAATTTACTGCTGATCTACTTTACCTTCTCAGTACCCATGTGTAAGGCTTCTCTCTGCTGTGCACACTGAGAAACATTTTTCTTGTCTTTTTCTAAACATAATTTCTTTATTGAATCTTTGGAAATTTCACATCATGCACCCCAATTCTGCTCACCTCCCAGTCCCTCCATATCCTCCTTTCCCCTTCTGCAGTGGACCCCCAAACAAAGATTTAAAAAATCAAAACAAAACAAGCAAACAAACACAGAGAGACAAAAGAAAAAAAGAGAATTAAAACAAAACAAGAAAAATCTCTTTGCCTCCCTCTCCACCACCATCCCCCCTCCCCGCCACTCCAACACCTCTTCATTTGTCCTGATGGCATTGGAAGCCATGGTGTGTCACACAGTATAGCCTTTTGTCCAATCAGCCTTACTTGCAAATATCCACTGCAGTGAGTCATTGGTCTGGTTCATGGCCTCTGGTTTCTGGTACACCATCATCACTGGATCCCCTGGGGCATCTCACGACCTTCCTGAGTCATGGAGATCCTGCAGATATTGTTCCATAGGACCAGTCCCTTCACAAGCTTCAGCAAGTCCTAGATAGGGTAAATGTTACGGTGGGCCAATCCCAGGTCCTGCTGTGGGCCTGGGTGGTACAGTTGAACTGGTCAGTCCAGGTCACTGGGGTTGCCCCCCTAAGGTGAGGGGCAGAGCCAACTCCCTTATGCCATGTCATCAGGGTCAGCTTTCCCCAGCCCATGGTGAGGGGTAGAGCCACTTCTCCCAAGTGTGAAGGGGAGGGAGCTTTCCCATGAGGGCCAGCTATCCTAGGGTCAGCGAAGGGCAGGGTCATCTCAGCATAGCCCTCTGATTCCATCATACATGGTTCCCATTGCCCCCTGAAGTGACAGGGGCTACAGACCCCAGCTGCAGCAGGACTACAGACCCAGACATGGCCCTCAGCAGTAGCTTGGGCCCGGATGACATCCTGGCTCCGGGTGGAAGACCAGGATGGCTCTGGTAGTGGTATGGCTCCCAAATACCATCAAGGCCACAGGTTTCAGCCCCAACCCCAGGCTTCCCTGTAACCTTTGGTGGCAACACAGAATCTACCTGGTCCTTGAGAGCAGCCAGATCTGGATGTCACCATTGCCCCAGGTAACAGTGCAGGCCACTGAGATCAGCACAGCCCCAGTGGCAGTGTGGCCCTCAGACACTAATCCGGCCCCAGATCTTGAGCATCCATGTGGCCTTCAACGGTAACAAGAACCTCAACATAAACACAGACCTTGGCTACAGTAGGGTCAAGGACCCAGACATAGCCCCC